TTTACGCTCACCACCTAGTTTGTGGATGTATATGACATTTGACAACACCCAATAATTCTTAATATATTACTCTGAAATCTGAAATTCAGAGAAACAACATTGAAGTCTTGAGTGGGCTATAAACGGCAGTTGATGAGTGAGACCGACAACGTCGGACGGTGTGTGAACCAGGAGAAGTTGGACTGGAACATCAGAGGCGAGTTAACTAGAGTATTTTTTTTTTTTCAAACTAGTACAAGGCCAGCACGATGCAAGGTGTAATATGTTCTCTTACCATATAAAAAACCAAATGAAAATAAAATGGTTAGGCATTTGAAAGACAATGGATGCAATAGTGTCATATCATAACATGACAGTTAATAATTACAGAGGAAAAATATAATGTTTGAGCCTGATATGATATTGTCTTAGTTAATAATTACAGGGGAAGATATGTATAGACAAAGAAAATCTAATGCATGGAAGAATGTTTGATTCCTTTTCATCAACACAGAAAATGGAAAGATACACAATACTTGGTGTTCTCCATCCTACCACCTCCCACTTATTTCCTTTAAATGATAAAAAATTAAGAATCAAACCATTGTCAATGTAGAGATTAGTCACCCAGCACTCCATTCTAAATAATCTAATAATTAGCCCTAATCTCATCAGACAATTGTATAGGCCAGTAGCATACTCTATTTAAAATTATTACTTATACTGAAAACTGAGAAGATAAACAGCTGAAAAAATAAAAGTTGTAAGTACAGACATATGATATAAAATCAAATGTGTGTTCCCATGAAATTTGAACAAATATTTAGGCAGCACATTAAATAAAATTATGAAGTGAAAATACCCCGTTCAAATGATATCTAAATTTTCATTGTTAATATCATCATAAACAACAGATAATATAGCTGTTAGGATAGCACGATCCCTGAAGCAAGACCCATCGCCTAGGTGGTCAAACCAAATTTGGATATGTATTGTCAACAATGCAATCCATAGGATTCCCTAAAGAGAACAATAACAAATCTCCAAGTATGGTAATAACATCTTCTGTGTCAAGTTCAACGTCAACAATGCCATCACCAACAGAAATAATCCATTATGAAAATTTTGTTACTGCATCTACATCATCCGTGTAATGACCTTTGGTTAGTCTCACGTTTTTAGTCAGTGTGAAGACAGTGCATTCATTCCACAAGTATAAAGCATTAATAGTAGTAAAGACAACGTCTTCATGCCCACCTCATGATATGATAGGGAGTATTTGCATAAAGTCTCCCCCAAGCCCCACAATTTTTCCACCAAATGGTTTTCCTATAACATTAGGATCATTTCTTCTGATGATGTCTCGTAATGTTCTATCCAATACTTCAAAACAATGTATGTTTGCCATTGGTGCTTCATCCCATATTATCAAGGAGGCTTGAATTAAAAGTTTTGCTAGTTGTGTTCCCTATTTAATGTTGCAAACTGAATCTTAAGTGATGGCAAGAGGGATTGCAAATTGTGAGTGAGCTATTTTACTGTTGGGTAATAGAAGTGATGCAATGCCACTCAATGCAATAGTAAGGACAATCCTCCCTTCAGATCTTAATGATGCATATAATGTTTGCCATAAATATGTTTTCCCAATTCCTCCATATCCATAAACAAAATACAGCCCTCCCCACACATTATGATCAGTGTCAATTATTGTATTGTAGATTGCACTCTGCTCTTCTATTAGCATGGGGAAGGCCTCTCTTTTGAAATTCAATTGTATACAATGCTGTAAAAAATTTAGCAACATATGAGAAAGATGAACAACTGCAATATAATTTTGATTCAAATGACTATTACTTGTTTGTGAAAAACAATAATATAGAGAAGATTATAAGATATGGTTAGTGAAATAATATGCAAACTGACCTGCTTTAACAACATTAAAAAATATCACCCTTTTTCAAATCTTGCATGAGATGCTCCAATTTCATCTTGAAAACTCTTGTTAGAAAATCTGGACGGTCTTCAAGTCGTAAATCTTCTTCTAAAGCTCTTGTTATTTCTGGCCATTTTGGGTTGTAGGTAAATGTGATAAACAGTTGAGGATAACCAGCCCAATTGCAAATTGTTATTGCATCTTGATAATTATTCACAATATAACATGCTCCTCCAATAAATGATGAAGGATGGATGATCTTTTTTCCTCTTGCAACTGCATCAGTCCCACCCAACAACAAAGCATCTATTAACCCTTTATACATTTCTGCTCGTAGTTGTTGTTAGTTATTCCTTATGAAGGTCAGCCTATATGATTCTATCATTATATATGCATCAACAACAAATTGTTCAAAAAGTTTTTCACTGTGCAATATTGATGAATATTCAGTATTACTGTCCTGTATCATGTAAGCAAAATACTCATGCATAGAAACATAGGTAATCTTGGCTACTGGTGCCTCTCCTCTTACCTCATGAGGTATTTTTTCATCGTATCCCCTTTCATTGTATGGAAATAACAATGGATATTGTAAAGGCAGAAATTCAGGATGATATTCATGTATCTTATGTAATAATCCTGTCTTGTATTGAACGATGATATCTCGACCGTATTCAGTGGATCTAATATCTCTTACAATTAAAGAAGCTATCTCATATTCAGAGGTTGGCATATCATATTGACAGACATTTCTCCCACGCTTATGCATAAGTCTAATTTTGATAACTTGTTCCTCATGAGCATGAATATAATCACAAGCCCGATGGAATACTATTATGAACTTATTGTGCTCATCTAGCATATTCTGCAGCATCTGTACAAGAGAAATATCCACTGATAATGATGTGCCACTATCTCCACTAAAAAGTAAATAGTGATAATTAGGAAAAAGGAAAAGCATGATTTAACACGTGTGTAATAAGGACAAACAATAAGCAAGTAATATAAGTTGATCAAATCATACTATTTGTACCTTGTTGTAGAAATTTTGTTGGCAACTTCATTTGATGTATCATATATGTAAAACTGAGCAAATTTTGGAGTAGCTCCATCTATAGGGAGTATACTACCAATCAAATGCATATTTTGACCACTCAGCTTATGCACATAAGGTGCACATCCATCATTAACATTTCTATCTATTTTTCCACCCGTAGATATAAAAGCAAACATCATACTATATGTCCTAACATCCATACGAAACCGATTGCTTTGTGGGTGATGTCCAGATAATAAGTTGAACAATTGAACTGGTGGATCTTGAAAAGTAGGAAGTTCTACTTTGCCCCAAAGGCAACACATGTCAAATCTTGATAGAATTCTGAATTGTGGCTTTAACGGAAAAAAAATGAAAAATAAAAATTAAGAATAACATGAGGACGTGGAGAAAGTGGGCAAAAGGTGATGGAAGTCACTTAACATTACATTAACCTTTTATTTTTAAAAGTTATATAAACCTCTTTTAAAATAAAAAAACTTAATTGTGCAAACTCTTTTATAATGGATTAAATTTCCGTAATTCATCAACTTTTTTATCTATATATAAATCTTCTTTAAGCAACATAATTATTTATAAAATAATGCTAACTTTTACTAAAAATATATAACCTTTATTATATACGATCGTTCAAAAAAATTTATTTTTTATATAAAAAAAATTTATTTTTCTCGTGACTCAACAATGTTTATATATTCTTTAAGCGGTTTTTAAATATGCATTAGCTTTGACAATAAAATGAAGGATAGAACAGTGGAGAAAATGTAAGAGATTTGGATATGGATGATAATGTATATTAAAATAAATATTTATATTTAAATGTTTCATTGTTTCACGTAATTATAATTTTTATTATCCTGTCCAATCTCCCTCCTTATTCTTTTCTCTAATTTTTCCTATGATCCTGATATTCTAATTTAAGTTAAATTTAAAATTTATTATCTTATAAAAAAAGAGCAGCTTGTAATTGATTGAAAAAAATAGCATTTTATTAACCCACAATGCTTATTTTAATTAAGAAAAAAATGAAAAATAAAAATTAATAAAAACATAAGGATGTGCAGAAAGTGGGTAAAAAGTGATGGAAGTTACCTTAACTACCCGCTTAATTGCAATTTTATTCGAAATGGGAGAGGATATCATGATTCTTAACATAGCCATCAGTTTTGAGGTGATTGAGATCATGATAATAAGAATGGAAAGTTTTCAGAAAGCAAAATAAATAAAATATCCTCTAGAAAGCCACGGGTAGACAGATATTGATTAAATGAAGACCCTAACATCGGATATGAGTTATATAAATATAATAATAAATTAAATATAAATAAAAAAATATTTATAGTTGTTATTACTCTAATTTTATATAGTTATAGATTAATATTACATTAACCTTTTATTGTTAAAATTTATATAAACCTCTTTTAAAATTAAAAACTAATTCGTACAAACTCTTTTAAAATGGATTAAAATTCCGTAATTCATCTACTTTTTATCCATATATATCTTCTTTAAGCAACATAATTATCTATAAAATAATGCTAACTTTTACTAAAAATATAGGGTCATTGAAAAGAAATTATTTTTTTTATATAGAAAAAAAAACTTTAATTTTCTCAAGACTCAACAATATTTATATATTCTTCAACAGGTTTTTAAATATGTGTTAGTTTTGAAAATAAAATGAAGGATAGAATAATGGAGAAAATTTAGGAGATTTGGATATGGAAGATAACGTATATTAAAATAAATATTTAAATTCAAATATTTGATTGTTTCATGAAATTATAATTTTTATTATCCTGCCCAATCTCCCTCTTGATTCTGTCCTCTAATTTTTCCTATGATCCTGATATTCTAATATAAATTAAATTTAAAATTTATTAGTTTATAAAAAAAAAAAGCAGCTTGTAATTGATTGAAAAAAAAAAGCATCTTATTAACCCTCATTGTTTATTTTAATTTAGTTCATTAAAAATCAATTAGAAATTTTTGTTTCATAACATTTCTAAAATTTAAAAATAGCGCGTTAAATAGGAGACTTGGATATGTGTTGAATGTGAAGAAAACTGAAAAAGTAGAGCACAAGTTCAATAATAATAGATCATGGAATGAAACGCATAAAAAGAATATGAACATTAAGGCTAATTTCGCACACATCACCGACAAGTAGTATCTCTGGCTCTCTTAATTAAACTGGTCTTTCTCCTTCGAAGTCACTGTGCCAATCTATGTATTATCTGAAGTATCGCGTGCACTCTTCTCATTGGAACCCATCAATGATGCTTATGTATTATCTGAAATATCGCGTGCACTCTTCTCATTGGAACCCATCAATGATGCTTGTATTTCCTGGGGAAAAAAATAGCTAGTAATAAAAGATTTAACTCTATATCAAAGAGTCTGAAAATGGTCAAGACTTACATTATCTTTAAGGTTCAGATTCTCAGCACCTAATTGTAATCCCATGTCGCCATCAATTGTATCCAAATGCAGCTTTATTATATCACTGTTTTTGGTCAGCCTCATTACACTGCACGTTGCTGATCGACCCATGACAAATTCATGGAAAACGCGCACTTTGAAAAGGTGTTTATGTCCCATAATCTTTTCTACTATTCCAACAGGGAGGGTGTCACATGGATCAACCTGCAATAGAATAGATGAATAGTAAATAGAATTGCTAGACCCATAGATACATATATAAAGTACAAACTTCTGAAATGCATACTCCAAATGATAAACTCTCATAAAGTACACGGTCTTGCATTGCGGCAGCTGAACATCCCACCAATCTACTGAATTCACGATCAAAAATAACAAAAGTGCATGTACCGGACTCATCCTTGACTTTGCAGTGCATCATAAATCTACATAACCGGATGACAACAAAATATGTAACGTAACCCATAGATCTAAGTTGAATTTTGTATGACGATAGACGCTTATACTAACTTAGGAAATGCAGTCTATTATTTGAGATCAATTCGGGCAATAAAATCCGCAGCCATCTGTCACAACCCTTTTGTCACAGTTTTTACAAAAAAAATAATACCATGCACAATCAAAACGGATACCAACTATGTCAGCAAGAACTAACACATCTGTATCCTATATTTAATAAAGAAATGCTTTTACAACACAAAACAATCCACGGAGTATACTTTCTTGTTATTAATATTATTATAGTTTAACTGGAAAATACATACAATGGGTGTTGAACTTAGCTCTGAAATCTTTCGCCGATCAGCTGTGCTCAACATTTCATCTGCAATAAAGTTAATGGGTTGTGGCACGATGTGTGTGGGAGCTTCATTGATATCTATGCCCACAAATTTTAACCTGACCAATTTGGAAGATGTATTGTCTCATGGAGGAAAAATGTGAATATTGAATTCAAATGATTTTATGTAGGTAGTACGTACTTGGTAATAAAATCATCAACCTCGGGAATTGAAGGATTGATAAAAAGCTATAAATGAGATCAGAATAAGACAAACATCAACACAACATACACCAGTCAAGTAGCGATCATCAAACTGATTTGATAAGATATAAGAGAATGAACAGAAGGCAAATCCAAACTGATGAATACAATCATCTTCCGAAAGGGGAGGGATTGTCGTGGAATACATGAAGTTCATCCGATATGGGTGATCAGTTGTCCTATACAACCTGTAATTCAGTGTAACCATGAAGTAGGAAATAACACAAAGCTTTCCTTCTGTGAAGTTATTCAGGTGACGAGTAATGAAGGGACTCTTAACCTAAGCATGTATGTTATCACCCTGCACACACGAGAAGCATTAATTTATACCACATGTTGGGAAAGGGAATGATACTAAAGCATTACTCACATCCTCATCTCGAAAGAGCATCTCAATGGAGGAGAGTTCTTCATGGAATAGCGGCCAGACATGGTCCACAGACGAACTACACGAACTCTAATCCGCCAATTTTGCCTATTAGGATTAAGGGAATGAATTGCATAAAAAATGGCAGCCATAACACCTATAATCACAAAATCCAGACTGACACTATCAATAATGGGAGAAGAACATGAAGGAACATTGGAATCGTGCTCACGCTTTTATGAGCAAATACTACATGAGATAACTGTCAAAGCAAGCATCATACAACATGGGCATGATCTATACACGAGACCACATCACGAACGTGGGTTATAGAAACATAATGTCAAATGAAACTTAACAAAGCGTGATGATGTCCACACTCTAAGGGTGTGGCTTACTAGTATTTTTGGTCTATTAATAATTAATAATAATAAAAAATACAATTATATTATTTTATTAGGGATTTCTTTTAGAAGATTGCATTTAAATATATAATAATAAAAACTGCCACGCAAAATTCGGATTTTGTGATTATACCCACATGTTTCCGGATTTATTTTTGGTTTATTAATAATTAATAAAAGAAAGAATTATATGATTTTATTAGGGATTTCTTGTAGAAAATTGCATTTAAAGATATTTAAATATATAATAAAAAAACTGCCACGATCATATATACCCCAATATCCTCATAATCAATTTAAAAACTACCAATTATCGAAATATATTTAAAAAACTGCCACAAAAAAATAGTTAAAAAAGGTGGGATTTTTGTTTAAAAAAAAAAAACAATTATCTACCCATAGATAATGCCAGGTGTCGTGCTGTCAACTTCTCCTGCCTTGTGCTCTACTTTTATATATTAATTTTTGGTTTATTAATAATTAATAAAAGAAACAATTATATGATTTTATTAGGGATTTCTTATAGAAAATTGCATTTAAAGATATTTAAATATATAATAAAAAACTGTCACAATTATATATACCCCAATATCCTCTTAACCAATTTAAAAACTACCAATTATCGAAATATATTTAAAAAAACTGCCACGAAAAAATAGTTAACAAAGGTGGGATTTTTTGTTTAAAAAAACATTTATCTACCCACACGTTTCGGAATTTATTTTTGGTTTATTAATAATTAATAAAAGGAACAATTATATGGTTTTATTAGGGATTTCTTGTAGAAAATTGTATTTAAAGATATTTAAATATATAATAAAAAACTGTCATGATCATATATACCCTAATATCCTCATAACCAATTTAAAAACTGCCAATTATTGAAATATATTTAAAAAACTGCCACAAAAAAATAGTTAAAAAAGGTGGGATTTTTTGTTTAAAAAAAAAAAAGAACAATTATCTACCCATAGATAATGCCAGGTGTCGTGCTGTCAACTTCTCCTGCCTTGTGCTCTACTTTTATATATTAATTTTTGGTTTATTAATAATTAATAAAAGAAACAATTATATGATTTTATTAGGGATTTCTTGTAGAAAATTGCATTTAAAGATATTTAAATATATAATAAAAAACTGTCACAATTATATATACCCCAATATCCTCTTAACCAATTTAAAAACTACCAATTATCGAAATATATTTAAAAAACTGCCATGAAAAAATAGTTAACAAAGGTGGGATTTTTTGTTTAAAAAAACATTTATCTACCCACACGTTTCGGAATTTATTTTTGGTTTATTAATAATTAATAAAAGAAACAATTATATGGTTTTATTAGGGATTTCTTGTAGAAAATTGTATTTAAAGATATTTAAATATATAATAAAAAACTGTCATGATCATATATACCCTAATATCCTCATAACCAATTTAAAAACTGCCAATTATTGAAATATATTTAAAAAACTGCCACAAAAAAATAGTTAAAAAAGGTGGGATTTTTTGTTTAAAAAAAAAAAGAACATTTATCTACCCATAGATAATGCCAGGTGTCGTGCTGTCAACTTCTCCTGCCTTGTGCTCTACTTTTATATATTAATAGATAGATGTCAGATTTTTTTAAGTTTTAACAGAGAGTATTTTGAAAAAATATTCCATATTTATGATTATTACCTAACTTAACTAATCTTTTTAATTTAATTAAAATAATTAAATAGGTCTTATATTAAAAATCGGAAGAGTATAATTTACTGCTTTTCGTTGACCAAAAATTTTTTTCAAGGAACATGCCAAATAAATAAGTGGTTTGGACGGCCCAGATGCATGTGATTTTCATTTTTTTCACCTTTTATATTTCAACATATCCAATAATTTAGGTGTCTTTGGTGGTCCGTTTAGTGTGCCCGTGCCTTTACTCCTTGCATTCATATGGTAAAGGTCAGGATCCCTGAGTTGAAGGGGAAATGCAGATTTTGGACGTCTTTTTCTTTCTTTCTTTCTTTTTGTGCCCCTACCCATCTTTTCATTTGCCATTTGCGTATTTAATATTTTAACCTTCGGGAAAATCGCAAATAACATCCTTTGAATATATGAAATTGTGAAATGGGTTCTTGAATAAACCTAATTGTCTCAAGAGACTGAGTCTTAAATTGCAAATATGAAATGATAATAAAAGGACCAAAATGCTCTTCTTTTTTCTCTTTCTTACTTTCCCCCATCTCCTTCCCTTTCCTTTTTCTCTTCCTCTCCCTCTCTTCGTCCTTCTCTTTCCTCTAGTTCTACAATAATTATCCAGCACACCGCATCTTCTCCAAGCTTGTGATTAGTACAAGTATGATGGTTGTATTATAGCGACGGCTTTGGTGGTTTGATCTATTTGCTTCAGTGGTTTATTACCAAAGAGTGAAGGGTTTAGTTAGGTTAATTTAAGCTCATTCCTATGGTGTGCATGGCTCTGGGTAACTATGCAACTCTACCATCTCTCTTGCATTTGTAGTCTCATCTAAACTTTTCATTTGAAGCATATAAACTTGACAACAAGACTTTAAAGGTTGAAATTGAAGAAGTTGCCTAGCAAGACATTCCCTTGTAGTTATATCTCCATGCAACCTATATGCCATGCCCGTTTTCCCATTACTTTTCTTTTCAGGAGGTTATGGTTAATTTGAGATGCATTTATTACTGAATCTTATAAAAACTAGTTACGATCAAAGTACCTATGGTTTTTTGTTATTTTGCTTTTCATTGTTGTAATTTTCCTTAGTAGTTGTAACTATAGACTTGTTACTAAGATGGCAGCAACATGACATGACGATCTGGAAATATTGGTCTTTTGTTTATGGTAGGATTATAGTTTTGATGATAACAAAGTTAGATTAAAATTGGTTAGGTATGTTGATCGATTAGATGATCGATCAAATGTTTATCGATAAGCTGTTAGATAATTGTTCAGTATAAATCAAATGTATGTTAAGTATTTTAATCGATGAGATGTTCAGTAATTCATTAATCGATAAAATGATCGATGATCGTTAACGCGAAAGTCATAGAAGGTAACTGTCGGTTATCGATAGTTTAATCGATAATCCCAGATGATCGAACAAGTGACAGACAAAAAGAAGTGAATCTGGACTGATCTTATCAATCAAGTAATCGATAAAAGAGTTATCGATAACGACATCGATAAATGGTAAGACACTCTACCTGTTTGAATAAATGTTTCTGGCATTGTTTATTGATCACATTATCGATCATCTTATTATCGATAATATGATCAAAAATTGAGCTCTAACCCTCTTCAATGCAGGTACTGATTATAGACTATTTAATCGATAACTTTATCAATCATCAAATTATCGATCACATGATCGATAATCTATGTGCCAGTTGCTTCTACTTAGTTTTCTTTAAAACTAATTAAAGCTCCCCTACTTATCTCATTTTCAGATAACATGATCGATAAACAGCCTTAGTACAAATTCTTCCCATTACTGTTTATCGATAATTTGATCGAACATGTGTTGATCGATCACCTATTCGATAATTCTTGAATATCCTTGTTTCTCACGAAAAGTTTTACACTTGACTTTTATCGATGACATTATCGATCACAATTTTATCGATAATGTGTTTGATCAACATGCACTAAAATTTCAATTCTGTAACACTTGAATTATCGATAAAATGATCAATCAACCTTTACTCGATAATCTAATCGATCATTTGATTTTTGTCAGTTTATTTTCAGCAAGCTATAACATTTCTCATACTCACTTAACTACTCATTTCCAAGATGTTTCTGCTTGCACAATCCTCATGATTACTGTAATAAGTAATGCATATTTAAAGGAACTCTGATTTACATATCAATCGAAGTTTTCCTGTTGCTCTTTATTGATCACCTGATCGATAAACCATTGTTCCATCATTTGATCGATAAACGTCTTCAACTAATCGAAAATTTCTCTTTCTATTTTTCGATAACCAAATCGATCAATCAGTAATCAATCACCACTTCGATAAACCATTTCTAGAATTTCCTTTTGCACCTTTACGGATAATTCATCCCATCTAGAATCATTGAGTAATCAATTAGTCATTCATCCTGATAAGCTTACACCATATTATTCTTACTTGTTTAAAGTTTAAAATATGGATGCAGATTACTAAGAGAAATTACAACGGCTCTTCAACGAGATTACGTAACCTGTAACCCGCAGTGTCAGAAAGCTCAGACGCATTAATGGCGAAACCGTTGGAACTAGCTAAACACGCAAACGGAGTCACAATGGCTAGAAGCTCTTCCATCTAACGGATACTTAACGATCTCAACTATAAAAGGCGCGAAGAAGCATTAATGAGAGGATTGAATACTGGAACTACCATCTGTGATTATTAAGTCTAGCATTCAATACTCTGTTTCTTCAACATACTGAGCGTCAGTGTTCATCATTAAATTTCACTCTGTAAGAGAGTCGAGATCTATCCTCTATTAATCACGATTGAGTGATACTCAAGAGTGTGGACTCTTGAGTGGGTTTGTATCCTTACGGGAGTAAGGGGGAGTGATTGAGTGATTCAATTATTGTACTGAGGCACCAAGAGCCCGATCAATCTTGGAAGATGGTGA